ACCAAATTTCACACATATAACAAGCATAGTAAGGAGTCTTAAGAACCGAAATCAAATTTGAGAAAAAGTTTCGTTTCTATGGATACGGCGGCCATATTGGATTTTGTTGACATGTCTTACGTAATGAACACCGCACTTACTGCTCATGGAAATTGATTGTTTTTTTGTATGCGTGTTAACAAACATTAGATTAAAAAATTTTTGTTGTTTTTTTTTCTAAACGAATTTAAACAATTTTAATGAATTTTTTTCTGAGGTACCATTCAAGTTTGCAAACAATCAGTGAAAATTCACGCTCAAGACACCACCAACAAAAAACTATTTCAAATATCAAATATTCAACAAAGTAATATTTAGTATTACATCTTCTCTTCATTCTGTGAACATTTCATGAAGATTGGAAGAAACATGGTGGAGTTATTCAAAAAAGTATAGAGAAAAGTTGCGTTTTGAGAAAACGGCCGGTAAAGAAAAATAAAATATTGACTATATGAGGAAATGGTGGTGATAAACATGCCCGGTATGCGAAAAAATACGGTTTTTGGGGTTCTTATGCGATGAAATAGCTGTAGGAGAGGCGGAGGAAGCTAAAAATGTCTACAACTCAAATTCCATAATTTTGAGCCGAATCGGGGCTTTGGGGGGAGCCGAATCGGGGCTTTGGGGGGGCCCACCCCACCCCCTTAACAGGGCCCCACCCCACCCCCTTAACAATCGAATATAAAGTCTTCAGCTTTTGCACAATGACTTGTATAATTTGTCTTAATACATCAATATTTGTGTTAACATCCGTTAGCGGTACTCTAGAAAATACTTTAATAAATACTAATTAAAAATCCCCGTTGGTCGTTTCTACGTACATTATTTTAAAAGATTTACAGCTGGGGCAATAAAAAAGCAAGTCCGTCCTTTTCTTTCTAATCGCGACATTATGCTTATTGAAAGCATGTTTTAAGAATTTTAGAGCAAAAAAAAAATGTTCACCTTGAAATGTATTTCTTGTAACACGTTTTGCCACTAAAAAGTGTCATTGATTAGCCTCTCATTCTAAAGTCAAATTAAACAAAGAAAACAGTCGCCCTTTCCTCCGGAAGAGGTTTTTTGGTCAGCGTAACCATTTTAAAAAAGCGTTTTTCCGGAATTTGAATTCTTAGTTATTCGGAAACTTGTTAGTTTCACTTTGATTTTTTTAACACAAGTAGGGTAACTCTGTTCGCAAAAGGTGCGCATTTGCGAAGAGGGCGCCTCCGAATTTTGAGGACACTTTTTTAATTGGCTCAAAGAGAGGAGTGGACCCTCTTGTTATGAAAGACTCTTTGGTATTACGTTCAGCAAGTTTTGCTGAGTACGAATACGCAGGCCCTGACATGTTTGAACATAAAACTTGGGGCGATTAATTAGATCCCCTGTCCCACCCAGTAACAAGCCTACATAACTACACAAACGTGTTCTTTCTACTTCTTGGTTTGCCATTCAGGGACATACAGCGTTCTAATCTGTTCACCACAGGTCATTACCATTCACTCATAATGTCTCTATCACACTGAAAGACCTTCGGAACTAAAAATTCCTTACCAAAGTTCCACTAAGTGATCAATGAAATTGGCGACGTCGGTAGTATAATGGTTAGACTACCTGACTTGTTTTCGTATAATCGCGGGTTCCGTAGTTTGAGACCCAGCTCGATCCTAAGTTGAGTCCCCTGGAGAGGCTCTTTTCACGAACAATCCCATTTTGTTTGGGCTTAAAAATGATGGACGTTAAATTAGGAGGGTCAGCCTCTTAAATAATCTATCAGTGTTGCAAGGTTTGATTAACCCGTTCAATTTAGCCATTTCAATAAAAAAAAGTGTATCTTTGTGTTTTCAGCCGTGGTAGTGGTCGTGGCGGTGTTTTTCTTCCACACGAGTGAGCAACAGGGCCAACAGAGCAATAAATGTCTGGAGGATTTCAGCAACACCCTCCTGGGTTGTGTGAGAGAGGCGGGAATGACAGAGGGAAGCTTCCTCTGGTTCGTCACTAACGGAACAAGCAAACGGTCCAGTCCGCCTTCTAATGAGGCGACATTCAAGGAGCAGATCTGTGGGTCAGTTAACGGCAAGATTGAACTGATGTATGTTTCACACCTCTGTACACCCAATATAGGTCAGTTAAAAGGCAAGCTGTTTCCACTCTGCCTGTCGGAGTCAACCCAGTGGAAGAGAAACTGTGTTGTCGTTCAGTTTACATATTCAGCCCTTTATTCGTCATTGTGCATTTATCTGTAAGTCCATCCATTCACACAAACATTTGACTATCCAGTTCCTTTTATCCTTTCACAGACCTCCCAAACTCAATCTTCACTCCTCCATCCACCAATCCATACGTGTCTTTTCAATCTACCAGGCTACTTGTCTACGCATGTCGGTCTTTCATTCTAAATCGCATAATATGTTTATCTGCGTATCATTCTTTCTTTCTATTCCATCGTTATCCTTATTATGTCTATCTATCTTAGCGCAAGCACTCCCCCCCCCTCTCTCTATCTCTCTCTCTTTCTCTCTCTCTCTCTCTCTTTGTCTGTCTGTCTGTCTGTCTGTCTGTCTGTCTGTCTGTCTGTGTATGTGTATGTGTGTGTGTGTCTGTCTGTCTCAAACCCGGGACCTAATGAATGAGAAGCAAACACTGTCACCTCTAGACCACGAGAGCTCCCTTTGTTAGTCGATATGTGTAGGCGTGTGTTTGTGTGTGTTTAAGGGGGGGGGTGCGTGCATGTGAGTGTGTGTGTGTGTGTGTGTGTGTGTGTGTGTGTGTGTGTGTGTGTGTATATGTGTGTGTATGTGTGTAACTCACACTCATTTGATCTCTATCCCAGTGCTCAGCAACAGGTAGGCGCATGTGTGTTTCAGCGCGTGGCCCCAGTAGTCAACAGCTCGGCGTGTGTGGGCACGTCACAAGCCACCAACCAACAGGACATCATTAGAACTCAGCTTACCACCATCTTCTCTACCTACGACGGAAAGTGCATGCATCGTGAGTACACGGCATTGATCTTCATGTGTTGGTTGCGTGTGAGTGTGTTTGTGTGTGTGTGTGTGTGTGTGTGTGTGTGTGTGTGTGC